TTTCCGTGCATTCCGCCCCAAGGCTACATAAAATGAACCAGTTGTGGGCTTTGCTGCAGCCCAACCCTTACCAAAAAAACCGTCATATAGCGGTCATCAGCGCTATTTGACCGTGGCACAAACAAACCCCTAAACTCCTGATCTTTCCTAGCAACCATTTCTACTCTGTAGAGGTCTGAGGGAGGAAAGTTTGGATGGTAGGAAATTTCAAATGGCCATTTACACTTACTCCTGGACCGACGTGTGGTCAGTACCTTGCCCAACGTTTACCTACAGTATGTGTAATATAGGCCTATTATATCGCATTAATACATCAGGTACTTCGAACTGCCTAACAGTATTTCGCCTAGTCCGCCCGACGTCAAATCTAACCAATTGTTCTTCCTAAGTTAGTCATCCAAATGAATCAAGCAGAAATTCCTTTCAAATTATTTCGGATGACCCGATATCCTGGGCACTTTAAAGTTAGTATCCACCGCGTGAACATTCTCTCTCTGTCCCAGCACACCGACCTGACTTCGCCATCAAGACCACCTGAACTGTTGCGCGTGCTGCTTGCTACGCCACACATTCCGAAGTCATTATTTTAAATTAACGAACACGAATGAGCGACATGGCTTTCATTGAAGTCCTTCTGTATGCCACTCTTTCCCTGATCGCATATAATGCGACTCTCAAGTCAGCGAGATTCTCACTAAGACTGCCGTCTTCTAGGATTGTGAGGCCCTGCTGTCTGGTACATAGGTGTCAGCGTTTCGGAGAAACCTCTTGCCTCATTTTTCAGGATAGAATAGTGATTGTGACCTCGCGTAGTTTAGTTTCGGAAGGATTTCCAGTCTTCCATCTTCGTTGTAGAAGAGCGAGGTGTCTCACAGGTATCTGGAAACATTTCGGGGCCTCCTTCTTTGGGGCAGAACATGGGATGTTAGCCGTGTAGTCTGTTAGATGCCTGCACGGAGGAATCTGAAGCCGCCATTAAAGTTTGAGAGGTAACTGCTGTCACCATCTTTAGGGTTGGGGATTGCAGCCGTACGTTGTGCATTGGGTATACACTGCTGTTGTAAGAGCCATAATTACATATGGCGCCACAGTATGGTGGCCCAGAGCTAAACTCAAGACAAGCAAGGCAGAACTTAGCAAATTGCAAAGGTTGGCTTGCTTGGGTATCACAGGAGCAATTCGAACATTTCCAACAGCTGCACTGGAGACACTCCTTGGACTCCCCCCACAGCATTTACAGTTGGAGGCAGAGGCCAGTGCAGGAATCTACCGTCTCCAGTGCAGTGATCAATGGAAACCTAGATCTGATTTTTTCGGCCATGCAGACATGACTCAGGACATGAAAAAAGAACCCACATTACAAATGGGGTCTGACAAAATGATACTGAGACATGTATATGAAAAACCATTCACAGTCAGATTTCCTGACTGGAGTGAATGGGAAGACGGGTTTCGGCCCGATAGAAAAGGGGGACTGATCTGGTATACAGATGGTTCCAAGATAGATAAGGATACTGGAGCTGGTATGTACTGCTATGACAAGAGGCGGAAACTTAGTTTCAGCCTTAGGCAGTAAACGACAGTATTCCAGGCAGAAGTATATGCCATTAAGGCATGTATTATGGAGAATCTAGATAGAAACTACATAAATAGCAACATCTATATTCTATCTGACAGCCAAGCTGCACTTCAAGCGCTTGACAAACACCAGATAAACTCAAAATTGGTCTGGGGTTGCGGTAAACCCACTGGCCAAACTGGCCAAACATAACAGGGTACAACTGATATGGCTGCCAGGGCATTAGGGTATTGTGTAAACGTAACAGCAGACCAATTGGCTAAGATTGGAGCTGAACATTCGTTCATAGGATCTGAACCAGGCTGTGGCATCTATATAGGAGTCGCCAGAACGGCAGTCAGGGACTGGACAAATATGAATCACAAGAAATACTGGTGATCCTTGACTGGACTCAGCCAAGCAAGGAGACTCATACGAGGATCCTCTACTAAAAGAGCGAAGGAACTGTTGAAGTTAAACAGGAACCATCTATGATGGGTGGTGGGACTACTTACAGGACACTGTCACCTTAAAGGACACCTCTTCAAAGTGCTAATAAGTAATAGTTGAACTTGTGAGAGGTGTCAAGAAGAAAATGAAACAGCCACACATATGCTGTGTGTGAATGTTAGGCTTTAGCTAATTTAAGATTACGTCACTTGGGTCAATATTTTATGGAACCAAGTGACTATTTCGACGCCCCACGTACATAATCCTACGCTTCATTCGACACGTAGTATTGTTGAGGGGATAATCAGAAGGGGAGGCACAATATATCACTGTGGTTGCGGTGCAAGATAAAAAAGTGACGCCGTGTAGTTTACCAAATTACTCGACGCGAATCCCAGAAGATAATGATTTTTGTAGAAAAGAGGTGAAGTTGTGGGTGTCGCTACATCGACTGCGCTTCTCGGGCTCCCTCAGTATTGCTTTAGGCCTCAGTATCCGTTCAAAAATTCTAGCCCGTCTCAATATATAGGTCCATAGTGAAACAGTATCATTTCTTCTGAGCCCCGAGCCCACCAGCTGGGGAACGGGTGTTCTCTTATCTATTACTAAAAGAAACAAGAAAATCAAATAACATTTAATATAGGACCAGTAATTTGTGCCAAAAAGAAACACGACAAATAATCGGCATAACCAGCCACAAGATATCCTATCACAACTCGCAGAGGCTGTCTCCGCAACAACACCACATATAAGGCATACTTTATAATAAACTTCACGCTAGCGTAATACCATCTCTGTACTCCCCTGCACACACAATACAGACAAAACCTATATATACGAGTACATTCTCAACTTACACAATTCCTCCAAGAACAATAATCAGTATGCTAGTATTATGTGCGTTACCTCGAGATGGGCCCTCCTGCCTGGAATTTAACTATCAAACCGAATTTTTCATGGCGCCGATCCAAACAGAATTTAGTTACGGAGCGAGACGTCCGTACACGACGACTTTCCAGGCAGAAGAGACCGGGTGCCTCAGCCGAATCACAAAGGACATAGGAGTGATGACGTAGAATACGCCACGGAATAAGGATAGGTACTAGGAAAGATAGGGAAAACGGTGTGACCCACGGCCGCCGCCGCTCGGAGATGGCACTACAACCAATGAGCCAAAGGGATCGGCTCACTTCCCAGGGGTCGTTGTTGGTGTTATTTGCATTACATTAAAGAAAAAACCCACGGCCAAATCTTAACACCTAATATTGAAGTAAAAAACTATCCGTTCCGAATTTGTGATTTTCGTGAGAAGGGCGACAGATGAATTTTTATTGTGGGGAAAAATAATTGTAAATACAAAAAAGGCCTAAGCAATGCCCATCCGGCTTAGACGGCAGGTGACTAGCAGGTTTGTTGGCAGATCCATCTACAGCGCAAAATTAGTACTACATGTACACCAGCACGTCAGTGTTCAGTGACAGCGGTACTCTCTGAGTCGGCGGTGAATGGTGTGATGAAGAGGTCCCTGGTTGTTCCCTATCACAAACTACCGCAAATTCTTGCATCGTTGTCAATGAAGATGTGTAAGTTGTGTGTATTCTTTAGGGAATCATTCGATAGAAATTCAGTTTCCTCATATTTTCAGAAATTATGGTGTTCGTGATGATATTCCGCTATTGCAAGTTCTATTCGGGATTTACTAAACTTCGCAGCGCCTATTCTGAGGGTGATGCTACTAGTAGAATGCACATTTTTACTTTTTTTATGCCCTTTCTCGCCTGTTACACATACAAATCCGATTTATAAAGGAAGGCGTGAGAGCTGATGGTCTATGGTGAACTGGTTGACGTTGCAGGGCATACAAATGCATTTTTGCGGCTCTGAGATATAAATTTGTAGAGTAGGTTTGCTGTTTCTGAGACGGAACTCCGTGCAGTCTGGTAGCCAGTGACCCATGTTTTGGAAGCAAGAGGTTCAGTCAGAGTGGGTGAACTAGCTGCCTTCGAAACTGAGCAACAAACTGTTAGACTACACAAAGTGTAATAAGACACTAAGCTTCATCTCTTCCTGTCTGCTGTGAGAACAAAGAAATCCACGTGAGTGTGTGTTTGTTTACAATAATTAGTATATTTCCTTACAAACATGGCAAATATTCAGAGCTAGGTACTGGTACCCTTGTTAGAAATATGATGCTAATCCGTAGGATTCTTGTAAATCGATTCATTTGCCACCCACAAAAGCATCGTGTGATAAAGTTTCAAGGTTATGCAAGATTCTGCTCTCTCTTGCAGCAGGAATGCCGAGAATTCTGCTACAGAGAACCGAAGAAACATTTCCTACTGTGACAGAAAGGATGGTGAGTGTTTTGTGCTTGTGTGCACAGGCAGGAATTTTATTGTCATCTCTCAAGTCTCATATCTTAAGAAACTAAACTTTTTATGCCAAGCTTGTGTTAGTTTTTATAATCAGTCTGGGGAGTTTACTTGGTTCTTCATATTTTAATACTTTTCATTATTATATGGGAGAGCGATCAATTCAAGGAGAGCGATATGGGTAGGTCATGTAGCACACATGTGAGAATGAGAAGTGCGTACAAAGATTTTGACAGAAGACCTGAAAGAATGAGACCCCTTGGGAGACAATTGTGAAGATGGATTTTTTTAAGGTACAAATATGGGGGTTTTGGACTGGGTTTGTGTCAGGATGCAAAGTCATGATGGGCATGTGTGAACACAGTAATGAGTGCTTAGGTTTCATAAAGAGCAGATACGTATTGTCTGTACTTCCACAGGGACCATAGGTTTCTCAGGAAGGTCCCTGCATTATGAACTTAACACTTCCTAAGATTATGAAGTCTGTAGGGAACAAATCTGTACAGAGCAGCTGTAATGGGTTAGATGTAATGAGAAACAGCTGCAGCAAGGAGAGCATATATTGTTTCATGTTTGATGTTGTACAGCCATGACTGATAGAAGATGTGATGCCTTTACAGAACTGTACAAATTCAGAGAAAGTTCTAGTGTGTCCACATGGTGAGACATACCCAGCAAGTGATGATGCACGCCAGGCCATTAATATAAAAGCTGAGGAAGTCTCAGACTCGCAAGTGGATCCTGTGCAAACTACAGTTCAGGAGATAAAGGCTGAACCTGAGGTGAGCTGTATGCTTCTGTATGTCCACTGTTAGGCAGATATCACAGATAGGCAGGAATTCCAGTTGTCTTTCTCATCTCTCTGTCTGTCTGTGCACATGGGACAAGTCCACTGTGCTGCTGACTTGCCTTTGAAGGCCTTTTTCTGAAGTGTCTCTAGACAGTTACAGTTTGTTGAATGAATGCTGCTTGTGATGTACCACTTCTATTTCCTTTTAAGCAGTTCTGATGCAGGTGAAATTAAATTTTGCATAAATGGAGCAGTGTTTGAGAGAAATTCTATAGCAAAAATCCTTGGGTATTCGCAGAACTGTTCACAATTAGTTACTGGTACACTTATTAGAACCTTGAGGCACTATGCTACTAGCTGGAAGGTCTCGGGTTCAAGTCCCAATGAGGTCGTTGGATTTTTTTAATTGACCCACTCCTTCCAGCCGCACTGTGGCCCTGGGGTCGATTCAGCCTCTAACAGAAATGAATACCAGGAAAGTTCTTTGAATATTCTTGGGGGTAAAAGGCAGCCGGCACATAAGGCTGTCAACCTTGCTGCCATCTATGAGCTGATTTTCTAGAAAATATCGGAACCTCAACATCTCACAACCCTGTGGGGCCTTCACGGCCTGTTACAGGGATACCTTTACTTACTTACTTACTTACACTTATTAGAACCAAGAATTTAAGTTACTAGGACACTTGTGAGCTAATTTGAATGAACCCCACGAGATATTTATCATGTGATGGAAAGGTTTCAAGGTTACAAAAGATTCTGCATTCTGTTGCAACAGGAGTGGCAAGAATTGTACTGAATAGAGCTGAAGAAAAGTTTCCTGATGTGAGAGAAAGTACTGTGAGTGTTTTGTGCTTGTGTGCACAGACAAGAATTTTATTGTTTTATTTCAGTTGTCTTGGCCAAAGAAACTAAATATCTGTTGTCTATCACCAGGGAACGCTTAGTTGATACTGCAATACCTACGCAACGGCCAACTGTTGGGGCTACAATACACTGTTCTGTTTTTTTGCATAATCCATGTTGTTCGTTTCTTACACTTGGGTGATAACAGTTGGGATATTATGTAGGAGAGAAATGAGTTCAAGGAGAGTGATGTGGGTAAGTCATGTAGCGCACATGCAAGTGGCCGTGCCATAGCTCAAGCGGATAGTCACTGGCTTCCCACCGCGTCGGCCCGGTTTCAATCCCGGGTCTAGTCAAATGGGATTTGTGGCGCTGGGGTGGGTTTTCTTCGAGTACTTCGGTTTCCCCTGCCACTGTTCATTCCACCAAATTCTCCATCATCATAATCACCCGGGGCAGGCTACAATAGGCCAATCAGTGGCTGCCATGCCGAGTGGACCCAGTTGGACTCAGTTGGATTCCATCCCCCCACTAAGCAAATTTAAAAAAAAATAATTTTAAAAGTGCACATGCAACAGAAAGAAATGCATACAAAGGTTTGGAGGAAAACCTAAGAGAAGCAGACTACTTGGGAGACCTAAGTGCAGATGGGGAGATGCTATTAAGATAGATTTTAAGAAAGTAATTTGGGTTTGTACTGGGTCTGTTTGCCTTAGGATACAGAGCTATGATGAGCATGTGTGAGCACAGTAATGACCCCTTAGGTACCATAACTAACTCCATGGAGCTGAGTGAGACTTTGAGAAGCCACCAGTTGCTTGGCCACTGAAGAATTTCCCAACATTGTATAGAATCTGGAAGTTTATTGACATGTTCGCAAAAACCCATCACAAGTCCCAATCCTGAGCCATTTGAATCCAGTCCACACCACCCATCCTATGTCTCTTAAAGATCCATTTAACTATTGTCTTCCCATCTGTGCCGAGGCCTTCCTAGTGGTCTCTTTCCTTCTGGCTTTATCAATAAATCCTATATGCATTCCTCTTCTCCCCATGCCTGCTATATGAGCTGCCCATCTCATCCTGTCCTTGATCATATAATTATGCTTGGTGAATGAAGGTTACAAGTTGTGGAGCTCTTCATTATGATGTTTTTAGGTACCAAAAAAGCAGATATTTTCTCTATTGCCGCAGTGACTGGCATTTCCTTGGGAGGTCACTGAGCTATGAACCGAGTACTTTCTAGTGATCATGATAGCTGTAGAGAAAATCATCTGTACTGCTGCAGTGACTGGAAGTTCCTCGGGAAGGTCACTGAGCTATGAACCAAGTACTTTCTAGTGATCATAATAGCTGTAGAGAGAAGCATCTGTACAGAAGAGCTCGTGTGAGTTGAATGTGATGAGAAACAGCTATAACAAGGAGAGCATACGCTGTTTAACATGTGGTGTTGTGCATCCATTTCTGAGAAGGATGTTGTTTTTACAGAACTGTACAAATTTGGAGAATGTTTTAGTGAGTCCCTATGGTGAGACATACCCAACACCTCGTGATGCAAATCAGTCCATGAATGTAACAGCTGAGGCAGTCTCAGATGCAGAAGAGGAAGAGGATCCTGTCCCAATAACATTTCCAGAAATAAAGGCTGAACCTGAGGTGAGCTGTATGTGCACTGTTAGGCAGATGATACAAATGTGCAGAAATGCCGCTTGTCTTTCTGATATCCATCTCTGTGAACATGAAACAACTCCACTGTGCTGTTCACTAGATTTTGAAAGTTTTTATCTTTTTTTCCTGACTGTAGTACCTTGAATGTTGCATGCGATATACCACTCCCATTTTCGTTAAACAGATCTAATATAGAACTTGTGTAAACTGAATGTTTGTGGTAATTTCCATAGCAGGAACAATCCTTCACATTTTCCTTGTCTGTCCAATCTGCTAAGCAGTGCTTTGGTACTACATCATAGGGTTCCCACGATCTATAAATGCTGAAGTTTATCATTTGTTTTCTGTCTCCCATGCAGTCTGTATCCATGTAGTAACATAGAGCTCTCATTGTGTTGACGTTTTGTAACAGGATAATTAAAAATTCTCTAAAAGATTTGTGATAATGTTTGACAGGTTATAAACAAGTGTTGCATGTTGCCCCTTGTTTGAAGTAAATTTAATATATAAGGTACCGTTGGAGTTGGCTCTGTACCTGATGTCACGTGATTGGTTGTCATGACAGTTTTCGTGTTATTTTTGGTTAGACAGAAAGGTGACTAACCGTTAGATACAGAGAATGTGTAAGAGGTATAAAAACCAATAGTGAAGAACTGGCATTGGCAACACATCCTAAAATATAGACACAATGGTGGTGAACTGGAGTATACAGTGCATCTAATTAAACACACAAATAAAGATAGTAATGAACATCAAAGAAAATTTCTACATCTACATATAGACGGAGGTTTTTACTTTTCTCGGCCAGTTCACGACGACTGATGCACCACTGGCTGGTTGCAACGTGCATAAAAATTTTGCCAGTGAATCAGTATGCCTGTGGCCAGTTATGTTACGAATGAAGTATACAGTTCATAGGTTGCAGAAGGTGTTGAAAATGCTGTCCCTCTATATCTAGACATTCCTTGCACCAGCAGAAGGTGTTCTGATTAATCCTTAAAGCTCTTGTGCCGGAATTTTTTGCAGTTTCCCTATGAATATTGTTTTTAGTTCTTCCATTCATTCATTCATTCATTCATTTCCTTTATTTTCCATATATCTGTACAGGCAAAAAACCTAAGATGTGGAAATAATCCCTTTGATAATAGATGTATACATGTGATAAATTACATAAGTCACACAACTAAAATAATAACAATAATAATAATACACACACTAGTCAGGTAAAATAGGCAATAGAAAAAAAACAAAAACAAGAAGCTTATTACAATTGTAATTACTAAACATAATTTAAAAAGTGCATTACTATAAAAATAATAGACGTATACATGTAATAAATTACATAAGTCACACAACTAAAATAATAACAATAACAATAATAGAGACACTAGTCAAGTAAAATAGGCAATAGAAAAAAAACAAAAACAAGAAGCTTATTACAATTGTAATTACTAAACATAATTTAAAAAGTGCATTACTAGAAAAACTTAGAATTAATACAATTTCACTCAGATTACCCAAATAATGAAATACTTTCTTTATTTCATTTTCCCATAAATCAAAATAACATTGATACAGGACTCGTCATATACATACACACACATCCTCCACTTTCCATAAACATCTATACAGGGAACAGACCCAGGATGCGGAAATAGTCATCAAACACATACATAAAGTAACACAAACCACACAACCAAGATCACCCACATTAACTGTCTAACACATACAACAATACGAGGCAAAAAGATATATCCTGATTAACAGACATGTCACTAGTAACCACAATACAACCCCTCACATCTCCCATACTAACTATATTAAAATGTGACGTTAAGCATTCAAATTTATGTACATTTGTAATTAAAATACTCATTTAATGCATAAAAAGAGTTAGCATGTAAAAATCTTTTTAGGGCACATTCAAAGGATTTCTGGTTATTAGATAATTGTTTCAGCTCTTTAGGCAGATGATTGTAGATTTTTATACCAGAATAATATGGACCCTTTTGAACTTTAGTAAGAGAAGTACTCGGGGGAAATAGGTTAACATTTTGTCTGGTACCAATATTATGAACCTCCGTATTTCTTGTGAACAAATGCATGTTATTTGTAGTGTGTTGCATTAAGGAATATATGTATTGCGAACACAAAGGCAGAATTTTCATTTCCTTGAAAGAGTCTCTACATGAATCTCTTTTCTTTAATCCCATCATAATCCTTATAATTTTCTTTTGGATCATAAAAAGTTTCGTCATGTATGAAGAATTGCCCCAGAAGATAATTCCATATGTCATCACAGAATGTATATAAGCAAAATAAATCATTCTTAAGCTACTTAATGATATCATAGGCTTAACTGATCTCATGAGAAAGCAAGACGAACTCAATTTTGTAACCAGGTAATCAATATGATACTTCCAACACAGCCTATTATCAATATTTAGGCCTAAAAATTTAATACACTCTAAGTTAGTTGGTA